ATGTATTTAATTAGCACCCTGTGAACATGACAATATACGTATAGAAATTTCAGTAACTGAGAATTAAAGTTTCCGAATTTTAAATAACCAATATAAATACGGTGACATAATTGTTCCGGTTTTTTTCAGTTACCTACCTAAATTGTCCTTACATGAATCCTTTTGCATAATCAAGATAATTAAATTTTGAGACATTGCTGCTTGCACGTATGTACATTATTGTTAATCATTATTTTCCGAAAATGTACTTAAATTTTCACTTTAAAAGTAAATCTTGCAATGGTTTTATCAGCGATTCTTTCGCGCTTGGAAAGACATCAAAAAATCGCGTATACATCTTAGCCAGTTCCATATTAGAAACCATTCTGACTTGAATGTTTTTCACGAATTTGACCACTTGAAAATTATATTGATTTTCAAAAGGAAAAAATACACGCCAACATGACCAAACTGGGAAACACGCGTTGTAATCATTCGCTCCAAATTTTCCAGGTCTGACTTCAAATTTAACGCTTGTTATCATAGTTCCCGCAATTCTGAAGTTTTTCATGACCGGAAATCTTAGGAATTTCCAATACACGTATTTCCCTTGCTTCCTCCAAGACATCTGGAGGGTTAGTGTTTCTAAAGTGGGGGAACGTTTTTTCAGAAAACTGTACAAAATTTTGGGTAGGTCGTCGACACTAGCGTCAACTTCGAAATCTACGGAAAATATGAGATTCTTCACTCTGCCAGGAATTTCTAGGAGACATTCCATCCCTCTCGTCGTGCCAGAAACTCCACGTGATTCCAAACTGTTGAACCTGTCCCAAAATATTAAGTTCTTATGTAATTATTAAGGGGTGAAAGCCCCTTTATAAGATCGTCATGTCCGTCTGTCCGTCCGTCCGTCCGTCCGTCCGTCCGTCCGTCCGTCCGTTGGTGCGATAACTTTTGAACGGAAAGACATAGAGACTTGAAATTTTGAACGTAAACTCCTAACGTCAAGGGACAGGACGAGTTCGAAGATGGACACTGTGACATCGTCACCCGTGACGATGACGTCGTCACAGTGACAAAAAGTGACGAAAAAGTGTCACATTTCAGTTTTGGAATGTGACACACCACTTTTAGCTATTTTTCAATGAGGAATTCGAAAATTCGTGTGATTTTGCACTTGGACGTCATATGTGACGATGACGTCGTCACAGTGACGAAAAGGGACGAAAAAGTGTCACATTTCAGTTTTGGAATGTGACACACCACTTTTAACTATTTTTAAACGTCGAATTCAATGGTGACCTCCATTTTGACCTCAGAGGTCACGAAAGGTCATATAATGGTTATCAACTGTTAAATTTGACACATCTTAGATGCAAACGTTGAAAACACGTCAGATGTGTAAATTTTAACAAATTTTCGAACATAGCATGAAATTCACTTTGACGTGTAACACACTTCTTTCACCCCTTGGTTACGTGCGTTGTAACGGTTTATTTGTTTTCTGTATTGCTGTGCCTACACTCTAAAAAATAATGTTACCGTCTAAAAACGTACGTGAACTCTGAATTCTGCGTGTTAAAGATGTAAAGGCTATTAATTTAATACGCCCCGATTTGTTTTTTTGAACCCGACACGAATTTGTGAAAATTTGCACAACGTTAAAATAAAAAAGGTAAGGGGACGATTAATGCAATGCGCTGAAAGATTAATGAGAAATCCTGATACACAAATTGAGCTCAAAGTTTTCACCGTTTTTGAGGTGCAAGTTTTCAAACATTGACCGGAGAAATCAGGGCGAATGAAATCAACACACTTTACGATATCTCAACCATTTCTCAACCTATTGGATGAAATTTTTCACAGATCATTTTGAGGCAATTTAAAAAAGTTTATCGATTGGACTTAGCGAATTTTTGATTTTTAGCCGACTTATTAACGAAAATGTACCCTTAGAAACACATATATATCTATAGTTAATTACTTCCATATCTCAGCGAGAAACGAATGGCACAAATTTTAGAGCTAATTTTTGTACAAATTTTAAAGGTAGAATGATTAAAATCGATAAATGACAAGGTTCTTCTAATGGGAGGTGCAAAAAACTGGATCAATAACATAGAAACACCATTGACAACAAAACATCCAACAAACTATTAATTACAATTATTAAATAAACCAAAAAGATGGAAACCTTAGTAAGGCAAATGCTGTTCCAGAAGAAAATTTATTTAATATCTGCAGTTACACCAAGCCTCACTAAGATTCCCATCTTTTTGGGACCGTTGCTTGTCTATACTCACAATGGAGGTCTTCCAACGTATGCCCACAGGTTTGGACCAAACTGGTGTCAATCGATCACACATTTAATTAGTATGAAATTTGCAAATGGAACTATCTGCAAATGCGCAAGTTTGGCGGAGATATTTGCATCCAAAGAGGGGAAAATGGGCAGCAAATTTGGACAATGAAAAATTTGCCAGCTTTTGGGGTGCGTTTTCTCCCCATCTAATGCAAATATCTCCGCTAAATTTGAGCATCGGCAGGTAATGCCATTTGCAAATTTCATACTATTTATATTTGTGGTAAATTGACACTAGTTTGGTCCAAATCTGTGAACATACGTTGGGAGACCTCCATTGTCAGTTTTTGCATCGGTGCACCGATGTTACCCAACCCAATTGTTTAGTACCAATTAAACAATTTTCAAATTATGCGGCTTTTATTGTGAGTGAATAACTAAAGCAAACCCATAATGGGAATGTATGTATGAGAGAACAGTCAGTTGTAATGGCTTAATTATAAATTTTCATGAAATTTAAGATAGTTCTGGGTTGCAAAATTTGTTTAGAAAAATATATTCCAATTTGTAAATTTTATTGCATGAAATATCTATTACCTGGAATTTTACAACTAAACATAGTCGATAAGATAGCATGACTTCATAATCCCGTTAGCTTTGTTTTAAAACCTGCATTTCTGCAGTTTACAAACCCATAAGAAACATCTTTATAACTTTTATCAGAAAATTTAATTGAGCTGTCACTACATTAATATGGAAGTACATACATATGCATGATTTTTCGAAAAATACAAATTTCATACCATTCTTAACTTCTAAAGCAATTAAGTTATGTAAATAGATACATCCCATCAATTTTCATTTGACGTGTTCTCGACTTACTTATAACCTTAGTCGAATCATCTTTGCAAGCAAATCCGCTTGCGTTTTTACATTATTTTCATACGGCAAAAAACAAGGGAGCAAATCGCTTTCTGCTTTCTTTCCTTCTTTATAGTAGGACAAGAACTTCTGCATACAATCTTTCTTTCCGATTTTAAAGTGCAAATAGCCCAACGTGTAGAAGAACTCTGGGCGTTTACGGTCTTCCTTCTCTGCGCTCCGTAGAAAGTCATTCGTCGCCCGGATTGCATCCGGAAGTTTACCCAAGACTCTCAAATGTGTGGCTCGACCAAATAGAGCGTCGCGATTGGAAGGATCTTTCATTAGCACTTCGTCCACCAATTTTAAGCCGTCTTCATTTCGCCCGAGGAAACCGTACACGTTTGACAGTAAGTTTTTGAACAATGCGTCATTTGGATACAACTTAATTGACTCTTCCAGCCAAAGCGCGCTTGTCTCATCGCGTGTACACTGAGCAATACAGAAGCGCAATTTTCTATCTGCTTCCTTCGTAATGTTTCCCCTGCTCAACATATGCTTACATGATATCACAAATTCTTGGGACGGTCCCATTTGATGCACTACCTCAACCTCTGGTTGATACGCTTCATAGAACAAATCAACACATTTCAGAGGCATATCTCCTTCATAAGTGGTTAAAAGGGTTACTAGCTCGGCATGCTTTCTTCTAGCTTCAACAATCTTTCTTGCCAATGCGGATTGGGCTACATATGGAAGAAGAACTTCATCCGTGAACTTATCCGGCTTCAGAGTCAAGACGTGCTCCTTGCGCAAAATGGGTCGGTTTTCAATTTTCTTTACCGCAACCTCCACCCAGTTGGTAATTTTCTCTGCTTGTTCCATATAACTCTCGGATACTCCAGAATCTCGCATTTCTTGGATCTGTTCGAAGGCCTCACTTATCTTTCTTCGCTATAATATTTTAATAGTTGGAACATTGCATTGGGCCGTTTTCCTTTGGCAGCTTGTTTCCAATATGCCACGGCCATTTCCTTGCTTAGCGGGACACCTTCGCCCGTGAAATACATGCAGCCTAACATATATTCTGCTTTGTGACTGACTACAGCAATGCTCTCTTGACTTGTTTTCTCATACCAAAAAGCTGCTTTCTCGTGATTTTGTTCAACACCTAAACCGTTGTGGTACGCGGAGCATACCGGCAAACGGCTACCCAGTGTTGATCACGTCCATCTGACACCTTTGACATGGCACCATCCTGTAAAAGTTCGAATCCCACGGTAGGATCGGGATCGGAAACCTGACCCCGGTACTTCATCCGCGCTAACCAATATATACCTTCGACATCTCCTAACTTTTTTGCTTTAATGTAGCACCTCATTGCTTCATTCAAGTCAATGTTTAGATCCCATCCCATTCTATAACGATGGCCAAGCATAGTATAACTCTCCCCAGTGCGCAATGCTTCCATTGCCATCCATCTTCTCCGCGTCATAGCACCATCGCTGTTGGGATCGTCATTCCAATTGTTTATGCGTTCATCAAAACTCATTGGATGTCCTTCTTCATCCTCGGGATCCGCAATTAGAATAATATTTGCCATAATTTTGCAAATGTCCAACTTCTCCTTTACACTTATCGCCAAAGTCGGCTCCAGTACGCAGAACCGTTCGTAGTTGTTTACGGCTTGCTTCCAAAGGCTAAGGCCTCGGTAGGCTTCCGCCACTCGGAAAAATGCTTTTGACCAAGCTGGCCTTTGTTTAATCGCTTCCAAACCATCGGCGAGTGCCAGCTTGTAGTAGCTTTGTTGTTCCGAGTCGGACAATTTCTTTGATACCATTTTGATATATGTCTGCGATCTATTGGAGTAGAGCACCCCTAAAAGGTCGTTGGGCAGGTTTTCAGAGACGCCAATGGCGCGAGTGTAGGCGTCTCGAGCTTCGTTAAATTGGCCAGATGAATAGAACTGGTTCCCTTCGTCTTTGAGGAGTACTACTCGCCGATGGGAGTAATGGCACCCTTCCTCGCGTCTGCGCACATATCGTCAATTTGCTCCTGTGGGATGGAAAGAACGCCCAAAATTCTGCGAATATTGGAGACATGTTCTTCGAACTCGTCGTCGTTTAACGTTTTTAGTGACTTATGAGCCAGCTGATTTCGAATTTTGCTAGCCTCTTCGATAACCGTGTTTTCATTTGTGATATCAACCTCGGTTTTGTATCCTTGGTAAATGGGTTGCTTAAGGAGGAGCGTGATAAGTGTGATATCCCAAGTAGTCACGTCCCCACTTTGTAGCATTTCCCTTTGGATTTTTTGAAAATTTTTGTATACGTTTTTAAGCTTTGATAATTTTTGGATCAATCGCTCCCCAAAGGATTTGGAATTTTGCCATTCGCAGCCTTGTGAAGCGAGCCAGCGGATCAGGAATAACTCCTGAATAACTGAAGTCGTCGATACCAAAAGGAGTTCGAGTTTGTTGTAGTTGTCGATTGTCGTCTTCTGAAATTAAGATTAAATATTTGTAAATGCCATGTCGTCTTATCAAATATAGGTAAATACACAGGTATTCATAACCCGAAATAATATACCTCTACATACAAATTATCTGGTCCTGAAAGGGAGCACCGACAGGCAGACAAAGCAATTACAGATATTTTGTTTAGATCTGAGGAGAAAAAAAAATAAAATAACGTAAAACTTTAATCAGTTAATATAAATATTTAAATATGTAGCCAATACATACCAGCACCAGAAGTTTTGTAAACTGCAAGACAAAGTTGGCTTCTTCAGGTTTATACACGGTGGAGGTTACTCGGTGGACAAACTATTTATACGCCCGGTGGAGTATTGTCAATTATAAAATTGGGAATGAGATCTGCAACATGCACATAAGGTGTGGAGAGCTCTCATTTGCAAAACTGATAAAAAAGGGAGATAACCAGAGAATTTATGTATATCACGCTGGTTATTCCCTTGGACTTGTGGCGTGATATTCCTGAGATAAACGTACCTAGGACTCTCGTTATCAATACATATTTATGTACACAATACATATGTAACTCTTTTCGGCTGGTAATGAGAATCATACGGACTTATCTGACCAATTAAGCAGATTAAATTATTGATTGATCACAATTATATCACTTCACTTAGACACGGCAGGTAGCGAGGGTGCACTCTCAATAATCCGTCATACATGTCCGCCCTCAACGTTCAGTCGACTATACATGTACATGTAGTGTGCATGTACATATGTAGCTTATAATATAAAATATGGCGCTGGTCGTTTAGCCTTTTTTAATATGTAAATGTAAACTATAAATGATCTGCGAATACAATTTAAATTCAAATGAATAAAACCTATCATATAAAATAAGTGTTAGGACAACGTATGATAGGACCTCAGACCACGTGTGTTATTTTAGGATCAAGGACCACATGAGTTGGAACCACGTGTGTTAAGACGACGTACCACTTGCCTTCCGACCACGTGTTTTTGGACCACGTGTGCCAGTTGCACGTGTGTCAGGGCCATCCTAACCAACTCGGATCTACACTCTTATTAACGCTAAAACTGCCCATTTTACATGCAAACACGTTCAAAATGACCTTAATCTAAAATGAACTTTCAAATGCAGCCCGCAAAAATATCTCATTTTTCCCCACATTTTGTTTAATGTACGAAAACACCATTTCTAAAACCCTGCCAAACACATTTAATGTGTATCTTATCTGCTTATCTAATCGTCACCAGAACTCCCAACGCCATTGTTCGCTTCAAACAAACTTACTCGTCCTTATCAAACGGATAAGCGCCGTCATCCCAACATCGATCTGCATACTTACTTAACTAACTTGTCCCCACTCCCGTAACCTCATTCGCACCCAGCAATCCATCGACAAAAATTTACACAATTATCCAATAGCAATGAAGCCAATTCCAATATTCGCAATTATCCTACTATTTTCGGCCGGATGTTCAAAAGCGTCAACTTTAGTAAATAGCTACATACTAAATTTGTACATGCATACTATAATATTTTTACAAATGAGAAAAAATCTGTGCAAAAAATCGTTTTATTTTCAGGAAGACCTGCTCCGAAACGGGACACGTTTAGAATGGACCTATCTCCGCAACGAGGTCCGTTACTACATGACCCCAGACATCACGGCCGACGTGGTCGATTCCGAACGACAAAGATTCAACGTTTCGTACACGATTTCGCCACGAATGCCGATAGACGAGGACGTTCCACTTCCGCCGAGTGTCGACTATTTACGATTACAAAAACCAATACAGATGGACCTACCACGACAGACAGTGCCACCAACAACTACCCCGTACCCGTCCTCGCCCACAACCACGCCCCAACCGACATCCTCCACCCCGCCCCCCACCACAACCCTTCCTCCCCCACTCCCCGACCAAATGAGAACTCAGTTCCAAACGGGACCTTCCCGCTTTGTCGCGGTCCAGGGCGAAACCTTGGTAACGGCCTCGTCTCCCGCGCAATATCTCTTTCTCCACCCGGTCGCCGGTTCCGACAACGAGTTTCACCTTTACTACAATAACACTCCCTTCGTCACGCCGAGAACCCGGGCACCGTTCGATTTCTTCCTAAGGCAACGATTTCCTGACGAACCGCCCGCCATTTTTTCGCTGCAGCCGTACCAGTTCCATTTGAATTCTTCGTATCGGGGTGAGATGAAATAAACATATGTAATTATCGATCTACGCAGCACGTTAATTTGAATATTTCATATAATTATACATCTTCTTAAGGTAACCGATCCCACATTTTGCCCACGCTGATTAAGATTTCCGAGCTCAGGACGGAATCGGAGCGGATTTCTGCATATGAAGAACTCCTCGTCCGCATGGACAACTTCGCCCATCTGACCGGAGACTCGGAAATTTTCTCGCTCGGGCAACACATCGTGCTCAACGTGGCATCCTACCTGGACACGTACATCTTCGCCTCACTTCCCGACCAGGTTCGTCACATCGCACAAAGCAACGATGAATCGTACCGCCTTCAAATTACCTACATTGACGAGGACGGCAGCCTAATTCCGCTCAATGAACATCTCGGCCTCATCCAGCCCGCCACATCGTATCCCTTCTACGTCCGACCCACCTTCCCAAACTCGGTCCAGTCCGGAACCGGGTTCTACTGGGGGATCAACGGAGCCGAACTTGTCTCAGTGTCGACCCCTTCGCAACTTTTCGAATTCTAATTTCCGATGGATTCCATTGATTAATTCTATATCCGCGTGAACTCCAATTATCTCTGCCCCTTTTCCAGAAATAGCACTATTCAAACGTTCCGTGTGTGCCCCGAGGGTAATCCAGTGTCCCGCTTTGTCGCGTCCACTCTCCAATTTAACGTTTCTAGAGTGTATACCGGCCTGAGGAGTCAAATTCCCGACGCGGCAAACTTCATTTCGAAATACTCGTCAGGAGAAGAAGCAGCCGAGCGGTTTACCGAACTGGTCGATTTAATGCGGGGTTACGGACATTTCCCGGGTTTCGAGGTATTCACCGTGGCCGCGTACATGATTAATACCCTTCCCACAAATCATGTCGCGTTTTATCTCCTTCCGGACGCTGCCCGCTTAATTTTCGGGGGAAATTTGTCCCTCACCTTTGAACATGAGGGCGGAGCCGGGTTTCCAATGAAGTACTCGTGGGCGTTCGATTTGCACGAGGGGATCGCGCCCTACACTTTCGCGCCCGCTCTGCCCGCGGCAAATGAGCGCGTGGGAAATGTTTTGGTGGGAATTGTCTATGGCGTTGTTAGCGGGTCGCGGCAAAGGATCTTTGTTGATCCTGCTACCAAACAGTTAACGCAGGAAATTTTGGTTGGAAATGTTACCCTGGAATTTGCCCTCGAGTTGGGACAGGATATGGAAAGTGTGACGATTCTGTGGGAAAATAGGGATTGGCTGGGAACCTGGGATGTAGAACCGGATTTCTACTTTGAAGCGAATAATGATATCGGACAGCCCGCCAGGTTTAAAATTAATGAATACTGATTCGTTTAAAACATTTTTATGGTTCTGGAATAAAGTTAGTATAATTTAATTCATTTCAAATTATGTGGTATATTCAGAATTAGGGAACTTCAACTTCAATATGATTTTAAATTTTGTCTAAACATTAAAATTCATGAATATTTAATGCAATTTTTGGTTGTGAGCTTGATTTTCAATTGCAGAGGGTGTTACACATATAAAAGTGACTCAGTTTGCGCTTGTGCATATTTAGTTTCATAATTTTTGCATAGACGTAGAGTAAAAATTTAATTGAGCATTTCACGTCAGTCTAATAATTGGTAAACCATTCTTTTGATATTTATCAGCCAATTAATTTCCCTCGTTACTTAGAAAACAGAATAAAAGCTGGACATATTTATATATTTTGGATAAAATATAAATATGTACACGTCTGTTAAACGTATGCGGTCTTGGTGGAATTCTTGCGCTTGAGTCCACACGAATCTTGAACCTTTATCACCCTCCTTTTTTTCCCATTCACGTACACAACGTATCCCTTCTCCACCCTGGAACTCGTTTTTGCCGAAATTATTGCACCCTCGACCGTGTTGAAGTCTTCAATTTCTTGCCAACTCTGCAAGTTACTTCCGGCACGTTTCCAGGCCAGCGTCATCGTTTCCATGGGTGTCAAAAGCTTCGTAATTTCTTCGTCCTGGTCAGGTGCAAAGGTTCCTGTCGTTCTGACCATGGTTTTATTGCAATAGTCATATCTCCCAAAGTGCGGGGAATATACGTTGAAAGGACCACAAATTCCGACGGCTTCCTTAATTCTGGTCAAACAGCCGGGTGGAGCTTGAACCCTGGATTCGTACTCGATCGTTTCAGTAAACGTGCTCGACTCCGTTTGGCTCCAGTCGTATCCGGTGGTTACGCTTACGCCGAGTCTGGTCTCAAATGAAGCCTGCAAATAAGTTCTACATTGAATTGAATTGAATTGAATTTGATTTATTGCTGCCTTTCCTGCGGGCCTTAAGACCCATAAAAGGTACATGAACAAGTATTCAGAAGGAACATGATTCGCTTTTATATAATTATGTAGAATGTAATATAGTTGTACGGATGGATAGTATTAATTTTTAAATTTTAACGATGCAAGTCAAAATATAATGGTAACTTTTAGATATATATGGGAAGTGTGTGTGTATGTATCACTGAACAAAATATGAAATTAAAATTGGTGTAAGTGTGGGTTTGTGTTGGGTGAGGGGTCCTATGATGGTGATGATGACGGCGCCGGGGGCGATGCGTCGTCCTAAGCTGCGTCGTAGTGATTGTGATTTCGGGTGCGGGGAATTGCTCGGTATTGGGATCGGCCGCACGTGGATACCAGATTGGTGATAAGGGAACAGAGGCCAAGGACGGCAACAATGGCAAGGAGAACCCCAGTCGTTACAGTTTGAGTGAATTGGGAGTGATTGATCGTGTCACGGAGGGCCAGGGTTTCTTCGTGTTGAGCCTGTAGTAGGCGATGGTTCTCTTTCGCGATGAATGTATGCATGACCTTATATTGCAATAATGAGTTGTAGACATTCCCATAGTCAAATCCATGCTGCGTCGCAAATTCGCCAGAACGCCCTAATTGTGAGCGGACGGATGAGATGAATTCTCCAAGTCCTCCAACCGCTTGCACAATGCCACCAAGCCTCCCCAAAGGAATTGAAGCGCAGGACGAACCACCCATCGCCACCAGCACCACCACCAGCACCACTGTTTCTGTAAAAATACAATAATTGGTAAAAACGAGAGCCAGTAAAACGTGCACTTAACTTAATTAAATCAAATTAAATTAAATCAATTAAATAAAATTGGAGCTGTGAGATAGGAGAAATTGTCAAGGCAAGATGTAGAATATTACGGGATTACCTGGCTTCATATTGAAGGGATGATAATAAGTCAGGATGGCAGCGTATGTGAGCAGGAAGGCACTTATCTTGGCAGCGTATGTGAGCAAGAAGGTACTTATCGAGAGACTGATAATTATATATCACCAGCGAGGCATTATATTGCCTTAAGGCGAGGGCAGATCATGGATGTTTGTTAAACATTGCAATATGAATTTATAAAGTGAGAAAACATCCGACTTTGTCACAGGCGAGAGTAGAAATAATAGGTCGATCTCTGACCTCGGCATGACTCGATCAGCAAAAAATTGATTACGAGGACCAGTGTTTAATGTGCATCGAGTAAGGATGTGGAGAAGAGTGTTATCCTCATTTAGGTTACAGACGTTGCAAATTTCTCTATAATTGAGATGAAGATGAAAGCTGGAGTTAATGAAGAAACTACCATTACCTATTCGGCACTGGGCGATGAGCTTAAATACATGATGCGGTAGTAATAGATTAGTATGTGGAGCAGCCTCTCTGATTACCGGATGTATGTGTACATAAAATGCATAGGTAGATGAGACAGTGCATCTCCGCAAATCCTCCTCAAAAGCTTTCCTCTCAAGAATCTGCAGGCATGCAAATAATTGGTCATAAATAAGTTCTACATGTCATGTTAGGCATGTCATATTTGTCTGTCATAAATGTCAAATATGATAATTGTCAGATATTTATCGATTGTGTCAATGGCGGACACTTATAAAAAATTGACATAGATAAACGGAAAATGTCATAAGTGTCTTTTATGATATTTATGACATTTTCAGAGTCATGCTGTAGGTTTTTTAATACTGAATTAATTTTTAATACATACATTTTCGAATATGTTAAAAGTATGAAAGCTTTTGGATGAAAACTTAAAAATCAACAGGAAATATGCACATAAGTCAAAATGGGAATAATTCTTAGTGCTGCATTATGTATTTACCCAAATTGTAGCTATTAATTTCAAGCTGGGGAGTGTAAGTATCATAACCGTCTTGTCATAAATGTCGTATTTGTCAGACAGTTATCAATGATGTAGATGTCCGACATTTATGACAAATATAACACGACACGACATATGACTTAGCGCTTTTATGTAGTTCATGACATTCACCGACATCGTAGAACCATACCTGCAAAGCCTTAAAGTCGATCCCCGCCGAACTTGAAATTTCCGTGTAAAAAGTGTCCGACACCGAACCCCCAGAACTCGTGCTATTCGTATATTCAACTCCACGTATTTTCTTAAACGCGCATTCATGCGGTTCAATCGCGTAACGGGCATCGCAAGCCAATACAACTTCCATCTTATCAATTGGTTCACAAGCTTCGGCAATGTTTGGGACAAGTTCGCACAAGAGATCGAATCCTTTGATGAAGTTTGCTGAAATATTCGACATTAAAAATTATCTAGGTATTAGTGTCCAAAACGAATACTCCATCTGAAGCCACCTCGCTCAACCAGTTTTTTCTTTAGGGATACTGTTGAGAATGCAAAGTTCCCTGATTGTGTGATTGGTAATGATGCTGTGTGATGTAAATCTCTCGTTCTTGAAATGAGGCACGTTGAGACAAAGCAGTTATATGTCACTTAAATTATTTATTTGGGGCAGTTTGCGACTTAAGAGCTTGAGTGACAAAGTAACTGGTAGACCATGGACAACAGAGTGACATCGAGATAAGAATTGTAACCAATATTTATAAGCTTCGTGTGAATGGCCGGACAAGGTTATGATTAACATGGAGACTTGTAAGTAAATTACATTTATGCTGGAAGAGCAGAACAAAATGATAAGCCGCAAACTCTTAACTAGTCATTTACCTTTAATATTAATTAGTCAAATTAATAAATAATGCATGTGCGTCAGAGGGTAGGATAGGGAAATTGAATTATACAACCTTTTCATACATAATCTTAAAAATACAAATGCAGGAGTCAAATACTTAAAACTTCCTCAACATTCCGCCGGCCTTGAACCAACGGCTTCAATGAAATTAAAATTGACAAAACTGTATACATTACAAAAATTAGAGAATTTCATCTTGGGAAGAATTTTCAATTGGGAGCAAACATAACCTTACAATGGGACGCTTGAAAACACCAGTAGACGTCTTGACCGTGACGACGCGCACTAATGAGTCATTTCCAGGGTGCAGGGCGAGGATACGACCAAGTTTCCAAACGCATGGGGGTAGGTTCTCCTCTTTAATGACGACAATATCGCCAACTGCGATCGCTCGAGATCCACTCATCCACTTCGGGCGCTGTTGGAGTCGGGATAGATATTCGGCTGACCAACGCTTCCAAAAAGCCTGGATCATTTGTTGGATTAACTGCCATCGGGAAAGGCTATTGATTTTGAGATCCAACAAGTTCGGTTCTGGAACGGCTGTTAATGGAGCACCAATGAGGAAATGTCCAGGGGTAAGAGCGGCGAGGTCTTCTGGATTGTTGGACTCAGGGGTCAACGGACGGGAGTTCAGGATCGCTTCGATTTGGCACGCTGCAGTGGTCAGTTCTTCGAAAGTCAATCGGTGCGATCCCATGATTCGCTTTAGGTGAAATTTACAGGATTTGACACCAATCTCCCAGTTTCCACCAAAATGGGGGGCGGCAGGAGGGTTCCAATGCCATCGGATTCCATCTCTTGATAGGTTATCGGCCACTTGCTGGTTATGGGATGAGGAATTTACCAATTGAACCATTTCCTTCATCTCGCGATTGGCACCAATGAAATTTGTACCATTATCGCTGTACATGTCCGTGGGTAGACCTCTTCTGCTTATGAATCGGCGAAAGGCAGCGATAAACATGTCGGTTGAGAGGCTGGTAGCTACTTCCAAGTGTATTGCTCTGGTGGTGCAGCACACAAATACTGCCAGATATGCCTTTAGAGTTATTTTGCTTCGAGGCTGGATGGGCCGAACAGAAAAGGGTCCAGCGTAGTCCACTCCACATTTCAGGAAGGGTCGAGCTGGGTTGACGCGAAATGAAGGGAGGTCTGCCATCACTTGCTGTAGAGTTTGAGCCTTTGTTCTGGTACATGTCAAGCATTTTGCAATTTCTCTTCGGACTGCATCTTTCATGCGGATGATCCAATAACGCCGCTGAAGTACCGACATCAGAAGCTGAGGACCAGCGTGAAAATGTTTCAAATGTTCAGATTTGATGAGTAATTGTGTCAAGTGATGATGGGATGACAGGAGAATGGGATGTCTTTGGTCTTCAGAAATCTTGGCATTTTTTAGACGACCACCAACCCTGAGCAATCCTATTGAATCGATAAAGGGCAGCAGAGAAATTAATTTGCTCTTCTTCTTGATAGGTAGCCCATTGGCGAGGGAGTGAATTTCCTTGGAAAATTCTTGCTGTTGAGAGTGCTTAATCCAGTATGAGAACGCCTGGTCAAGTTCTGCTGGAGTCAAAGGGGGCACATTCGTGGTGGATTTTGTGGACTCGGGGCGAACTTGCTTGTGGACTGGGTGACGTGGTTCCACTGTAGCGACATCTTTACCGGAACGAGTGACGACATGGCACAACTTGAGATCTTGGCGACATTTGAAACTTTTGACAAATCGGAATATGAATGCTGTTATTCTGACAAGTTTTAGGAGAGATGAATATCGGTGCAGGATTGAATCATTGAATTCTATCATTGAATGGAATACGGTCGGTTTTGGTTTTCTTTCTTCACTGGCAGCTAAGGAGTGATTGAGTGGGACACAGCATTGGGGATCAGGTATTCCGTTCTTGAGCCATGGAGGTCCTTCCCACCAAAGGGGGTGGTAGATAAGATCCTTTACAGTTATTCCCCGTGACGCGCAATCTGCAGGATTTTCATCTCCTCGGACATGTCCCCAACGCATGGGCGGAATTTTCTCATGGATACTTGTGACCCTGTTGGCCACGTACGTCTTCCATCTTAAGGAGTCAGACCGGATCCATGCAAGGGTAACGGTCGAATCCGTCCATGCCGTTATTGAATGAATCGGAACTTTTACTGCTGATTGGACGGCGAGTGTAAGGTCGGCGAGAAGACTGGCTCCGCATAGCTCAAGGCGAGGCAAGGATATCTTCTTCAAGGGCGCCACGCGAGTTTTGGATGTGACAAGTGAGATAGAACTATTTTGACCATCGTAGGCACAAAAATAGACTGCGGCTGCATAGGCGTCCTCCGAGGCATCGCAGAACCCGGCGAGGTAGTACTTGGTGGTGGTAAAACTAGGGACATTGAGACTGGGGCACAACAATTGAGAGCCTTGCAAAAAATAACGATTGATGGAGAGTTTGACTAAACCTTCGAGGTCAGTGCGAAATGCATTCCATTGATTGTGAATCTCTATCGGTAAAGATTCGTCCCATCCCTGCTGCAGTTTCCAAATTGATTGCATTATAATCCTGCCATTGATTATGACAGGGGCGAGCCAACCAACAAGGTCAAACAGGCGAGCGATCTCAGAAAGAATGGACCGCTTGGTTACTTGAGTAGTGGATGGAGTTGGCAAAACCATAAAGGTGAATTGGTCTGCTTTAGGGTTCCATCGAATGCCAAGAGTCTTGATCGAGGAATCAGTGTCAAAGTTTAGAAGAGATTGCGTCTCTCTCATCTCAGGCGGTAGGGTATCTAATACGGCTTGGGAATTCGACGACCATTTTCGTAGGCTCATCTTTGCGCTTTCCATCATCTTGATCAATTGATGCTGGGTTTCAATTGCCTCCTCGACTGATGGTTCTCCAGACATCAAGTCATCAACAAAGAAATCGCGGAGGGCAACTTCTGCTGCTCGAGGGAAAGAGTCCTTCTCCAGGGTTGCAACTTCCTCCAAAACTCTGGTGGCTAGGAAGGGGGCTGCAGCAGTTCCGTATGTGACGGTGCGAAGTCGGAAATGCTGCACTGGTTTGCTAGGGTCTTCACGCCATAAAATGCGATGAAACTCTCTGTCAGGCGACGAAAGCAGGATCTGCCGATACATTTTCGCGACATCGGCTACAAAGGCAATCTTGTGGATTCTAAAACGAGTCAAGAGATCAGTTAGGCTATCCTGAATGGTGGGGCCAACCATCATCGTGTCATTTAGTGAAACACCGTTTGATGTCTTCGCGGAGGCATCGAATACAACCCGAAAACTTGTTGTTGTACTGGATTCCTTGAGGATAAAATGATGCGGGATGTAACAGGCTGAAGTTGAATCCTCTGGTGTAACACGTTCCATGTGGCCTAAATCTTCATATTCTTTCATGAATAGTGCATATTGTTTCTTGTGGTCTGGATTCTTGGCAAGACGTCGTTCCAAATAGAGGAGACGCTTCATGGCAATATCCATGGATTTACCAATTGCTGGTACTCTGATTGCAGGATTTGACAGACCTGCTGACGGTGGAGGAGGGTGGCATACCTGAGATTTGAATGGAATCTGCACGGTGAATTGACCATTCTCTTCTCGGCGATAGGTGGAGGCGAAGTGAGATTCGACCTTTGATTCGTCTGAGGTTTGGAGCCGCTGCAAGGGCGCACTCTCAATTTCCCAGAATCTCCGTAGCGTAGCGTCGAGGTGCTCATCCTGATCACTGGCAGAGGAGATTGAATTGGTACTGCGACCATGTTGCGAGGCGAGGGTGGCATGGACCTGAGGATTGATTGAAGGGGCGTTTGGGGCACCACCACCAATCAGCCATCCGAAACTAGTTGAGATAGCGAATGGACTGTTGGGTGGGCCTTTCAACTTGGTACCCTTGAGAATGTCGAAAAAGAACTCAGCACCCAGGAGCATGTCAATGTCTTGAGGCTTGTAGTAGTTGGGATCGGCTAATTGGAGGTTTTGGAGATGTGACCATCTGCTGTGGTCGAAGGTTGAAGATGGGAGTCTGCCAGTGATCTTCGAAGTGATGAGACACCTGGAGACAAAGAATGAAATGGTTGAATCAAAATGTGGGCTGACTGAGAATTCAGTAATTCCAGTAGCATTGACAAGGGATACTCCACCTAGACCTGTTGCCGTTGCGAAGTACCGTCTGCGAGGAACTCCAATCCTTTTGATGCAAGAGTCCGTCACATAGTTTGCATTGCTGCCATTGTCGGCCAGCACTCGGAGGGTGTGGTAGTTACCACTGGGGTCTGCTACCTGGACGAGGCATGTTGCCAGTAGGGTGTCGTATTCCTTGGGAGTGGAATGAGACTTGTCACGTGGGGGATGAGGGGCGCTGTTTTCTGCATGTAGCACCACTGGAGGAATGGCTGCGGCATCGGCTTGCCTGGGTTTGTGTAGAAGGGTGTGGTGCTTACCATTGCACGTCCTACACGTTCTGTTGCTGGGACAGTCTTGGATTCTGTGGGGCCCAAAGCAGTTGAAACACAAATTCAACTTCTTGACGCCATCAACTCGTTGCTGAATTGGGAGTCCCAGAAACTTCTCACACTTGAATAGAGGATGAGGACTTGCTTCACATAAATGACAATTTCTGCTGGCATTTGTGGTGTGGACCATATTACGTGTCTGAACTCTGTTGCCATGCGGGTTGTTGGGGTGCACGGGCTTCGATGATGATGATAATGATCCACTTGCTGCTAGTGCTCGAGCTCTCTGCTCGAGAAATTCGAATAGGGATTTTAGTGAGGGAATGGAGCTGTCCTTGAGCGACTGCTCCCACAATTCTTTGGATGTTGAATCCATCTTCGTAACTAGGATGAAAAGGAGATGCGCGTCCCACTGATCTGTAGGAAGCTTGAGGACATCCAGTGATCGGATGCACTCACGAGAGACATCAACTAGGCTACGGATTGATGTTGATGACTGCGGCTTCACAAGAGCTTGGTTGTGGAATCTACGGAGAATGGCGAAAAGTAGTTCGCGATCGTTCTGATACCTATCAGACAACTGGGACCACGCAATATCATAGTTAGTGTCCGATATTATCATACTAGAGATTTGCCTGGATGCTTCATTCTTGAGTAGAGATTTTAGATAGGTAAGCTTCTGTGACTTACTAAGAGACAAGTTGTCATGCACGGCAGTGACAAACATGTCCCGAAAAGTGACCCAAGCTTGCAGATTGCCGTCGAAAGAGGGAAGTTCGAGACGAGGGAGTCTGATATCCGTCGTGGTTGGAGTGGTTGAACTGGTTGCAGCACTTGAACTGGAGGCGGAAGATGAGACTGGGAACTTCATCTTGATTCCAGTAAATGCTGATAATAACTTGGTGGACTTGGTCATTAGTCGCTGAAATTCTTGTTGGTGTGGTGTCATGTCTGGAGGTGATGCAAGCTGTATCTTACGGTGAATCTCCATTACGTCGGTCTGGCAGGCTTTCACCATCGACAGAAGATGACTGGTGTGTGCTTCATCTAATGGGGTTGTCGCGTGAGAGGTCAATTCTGTTTCCAGATAATCAATGAGGTCGCTAGTGGTGGAGCGTTCACTGGTTGCTTTATCCAGCACTGTGGGTGCCATGATTGCTGTTGCTACTGGGGTTCAACCCGACGCCCGATGGCCGATTCTGAACCTCCTATCCAGTAACCCACAACAATGGACTTAACGAAAGACAGCGCTTACCAAATTTACACACTTGCGAATGGACGGTTTATATCCGGTTGAAGCGAGACCAAAATGTTGAGAATGCAAAGTTCCCTGATTGTGTGATTGGTAATGATGCTGTGTGATGTAAATCTCTCGTTCTTGAAATGAGGCACGTTGAGACAAAGCAGTTATATGTCACTTAAATTATTTATTTGGGGCAGTTTGCGACTTAAGAGCTTGAGTGACAAAGTAACTGGTAGACCATGGACAACAGAGTGACATCGAGATAAGAATTGTAACCAATATTTATAAGCTTCGTGTGAATGGCCGGACAAGGTTATGATTAACATGGAGACTTGTAAGTAAATTACATTTATGCTGGAAGAGCAGAACAAAATGATAAGCCGCAAACTCTTAACTAGTCATTTACCTTTAATATTAATTAGTCAAATTAATAAATAATGCATGTGCGTCAGAGGGTAGGATAGGGAAATTGAATTATACAACCTTTTCATACATAATCTTAAAAATACAAATGCAGGAGTCAAATACTTAAAACTTCCTCAACAGATACTCAAAAACTGATACAACATTACATTATGCGATCGAATTGAAATTCGAAATTTAAGATTTAGTGACACTAAAAAAATATTTCTACCATATTTTTATCCCTGTTACCCTTGTATGGCACGATATGATCCGATCGGATAAAATTATGCGATTAGTTTGTAATTCAGTATATAAATTAGATCAAAACCAGGTCACAGTGATAGAAATAAGGTAGAAATAATTTTTTGAGGTCACCAGACACTTAGCTTTTAAATTTCAAGTCGATTACACAATTTTACATGGTTTCTATTTGGGATTAGCTTTTGAGTGTCCCTAAAACCTGATTGAGGGAGGTTCCATCAGATGGGGTATTTGGTCTGCATGGTATGAAATATTCAAAATTATAAGGAATAATTTGAGGTAATTAATTACAGTGTTCCTCATATCGAATCTTGGCCCCCACAATGGCATGCTTATCCGGACATTTCGCCGTATCCGGGGGAGCATCCTTCAAATGACAGAGTGGCGTCATGCCCACCAAAGCCTCCACTGATCCCCTCACCGGTTTCTTATCCCAATGCAGCCTAATTCCACGAAGGGCTATGGGACACTCCAGAAAGGAATCTACCCTCGTTGTTTTATTATTCCCGCTATACTTTACAAACACTTTTGTATCCGTCCCTTTCGTCTCTGGTTTCGAACAGTGTAGGAAAATTTGCGAGAGGTATTTATCCTGATTATTCCACTCAATATGTTTCACATAAGTGTCTTCGGGACAACGAAAGGACTGGTCGTAGACGCGACATCGCTTCACGGATGAAATCCGATCGTTGAATTCGGTCGGGACCAGGGTCGGGATTTGCCGTTCGGTTGTGACCAAATATGTCTCTCGGTACGGGTAGGGGGCAGTGTGGAGCTCGACGCAGGAGCCGCGGTACAGTTTGTAGGAGGAGGCCTCGTTATCCATTCCGTACGGAATGGTTCCGTACACGGAGCCATCGAGGTCCTCAAAGTATACGGATGGTTCTAGGATACGGAGGGATATGAGAATAATAGAGTAACGATGGGTGTGTCAGGCTGGTTCTCTCAAGTTTTTGTACAAATAAATATTATTCCGCACATAAATGTACTTCATATACATAAATACACTATAATTACACATCAATTTAATACAAATAGCTTAATACAAAATGTGCAAAACTCAGTCCAGTTCACAAAAACTACTGATTTTTGTCAATTCAAAATAAAAAAACACTCCTCTATTTTCCAGGTTAGAATCATGCCTTAGGTTTAAATGCATTGAGCCCATCGATTCGGCTGTGAGAGCGTTTTTTTTATTTAAATTTACAAGAATCGGTGGTTTTGGAGTAGTAGTGCAGAGTATAGTCGGATTGATGTTTTTTGAAATCCGATCCGATCCGAATTGGTCGGGTAATAAAAAATCCAATCCGATCCGAATTGGTCGGGTAATAAAAAATCCAATCCGATCCGAATTGGTCGGGTAATAAAAAATCCAATCCGATCCGACTTGGTCGGGTAATAAAAAATCCGATCCGAACCGAATTGGTCGGGTAATAAAAAATCCGACCCGATCCGATTTTATTGGGTCAGAAAAAAATCCAATCCAACCCGACCCAGTCGGATTCGGATTGGATTAATCCGGTTAAATCGGATATCCTACTACCCTCTGTAATAGTTCGAGTTTTGCATTACATCAAAGTTAACTATATTTGGCGGACGGGTGGTATATTTAATACATGTTTTAGAAAAATTTGGACGGAACAAGCCTGGCACACCGGTTGGAAGTTAGTGACGAAAGTGAGATAAACCTTCATAGTTAACGTGTTTGAATAGCTCTAACTGTAACACGGATTCAGTCAGAAATGGGGTACATATTAGGAAGAGGAGTCTTTTCTGTGCCATGTTTTAAAAAGAACACAGCTGCGTGACAAGGTTCTTGTCCTTCCAATATTTAATTCACTAAATGGGAGCATTGGGTTCAAATCTGACCGTTAAAAATTCATGTAGGCTAGACTCGCCATTTTCATGGGTTATTGTTTGACCAAGTTTTTATTTCAATTCAGCCAAAAAACAATTGTCAGGTAGGGATCGTTAAGTCTGCAAAATGCATTTGGTTAATTGGCCATTGTTATACTTAAATACCTAACAGGTGTTGAAATACGTCATGTCTCAAGACTTTGTGTAGTATTTAGTTATGAAAGGTCTCTAGGGTGAAAATCGTGTGTCGAATTTGACATAATTCGACACACCTGCCCGGACCAATGGTTTTTGCAGAAAAAGTATGAACGATTCTGCATAAAATTTCTGACAGGTATATTCTGCAGAAAGGTTTTGCACAATTATGCATAATTCTGCATATTTTATGCACAAATTGTTTCGGCGTAAATTTTTCTGCATAAAATCCAGCCAATTCTCTGCATAAAAACCAGCCAAATTTATGCATAAAATCCCTTAAATTTTTCACCTGGGCTAGCAAGCGAATTTATCGTAGTTAAGTCGTTAATGGACTTATGTATTTATGTAGGTATCTCTTTAAGCTTCTGCATACATAAATATTTGCTATGCACTTATTGAAACCGTACTGAAATTGCAGTAGAATCTGAGCTGCACAATAAATGGTAATGGTAGGCCGACTAAAGTTGTAATTCAAAAATTTTTATACGTACAGTAAGCAAAAATTTAAATCGTACCCTTTTCTGTCACGTCATAAATCCATGGTTTTCTACTTAATCCAAACCGATTATTATTATGCAATACATCAGCCTTGTAGGAAATTTAACGTAGATTCCGAAGATGACACACATTTTTTTGTTTTTCCTTACTAATTATGAACCACCAATTAAAAAGTCGGGGAAGATTTAAAATCCATGCAAAAAATTAAATCGTACCCATGCGGGTTTTTAATGCAAATTTTGTTTAATAATTAGTTAACACTTTGAAACGCCTTGGATTACTTCAATTACAGCTTTGAGACGCCGCGGCATGAATTTTACTAATTCTTTGCCACCTCCGGTCAGAAGTTTACAAACACTTTGCTTAAAATAACATGCAAGTCATATTTGGTCTTCGGTTTTCGGTTCAAAATCCTCGTCGCCAATTACTGCCATAAATTTTCGATGGGGATGACGCCAGTACATAGATCAGGCAACCCACGGAAGAGCCTTAATTCCCTTTTACTCGAGGTACCGATTAATAAATTTCGCGAATTTTTGGGATCAGTGTCCAATTGCAAATTTATTTTCGTCACGAGTCTCAATTTCCTCGCTCAACGGACTTGATTTCCCTCCAGAATTGTCAGCTGGACTTCATTGTTGATGATTGACTCAATAAAGATAAAGTTCCAACACCATTCCAAAATTTTGAGGCCCAAACCATCACAATTCCCTCGTTATTTTACACGGTATTTTTCATGCATTTCGGTTTATTGGCTTCTCCAGGTTTCCTGCATATCTTTACGACTGCATTCGACCTAGATATGTTGCACATGGTTGTGTTATGCTGACTGATACGTTTTCAGCCATTGAGAATCCTAACGCTAAGGTCCAGGGCCCACTTTGTACGCTGTGCCATATTTGACTTATAGATGAATGGCTTCTTGCTTGCACTTCGACCCTTAAAGCCCCTTTCCCGGATCCGTCCTCTGATTGTTTGAGTAGAAACCGTTCTTTTGTATTGTTCTTGCAGTCCAGATGCAATTTTCGGGGCCAAAAGTCCTCCGCTGGTCAAGATCTTGATGATCATATTTGGATGCTCGCCCTTGTTAATTGCCGTTTTATGTCCACGGCAATGAAAATTGCCCAAGAATCCAGTTTTCCTCCATGGTTGGGAAATGGATTGGATAGTAGGCTCCTAAAACTTCGTCCCCAATGCAATTTTGTAGTAACATTGTCATTTCCTATGCAGAAAAATAACCCTCTTCTTTCCACTGCATATAGCTATTTTCTGCTCATTTTTCGGGATGTCTAGCAGCGTCAAAGTCAAAAAGTTTGAAACCTTTTACATGAAAATATTAAAAACTGTATAGCAATCTAATTTCACTTAAGAATTACCGTTTTTGAGTTTGTAGAAGAATGAGATGGTGAAAAAACCGAAAGGGTACGATTTAATTTTTTGCATGAATTTCGAATTCTCCGCCACTTTCAAATTAATGGTTCATTATCCGTAAGGAAAACGGAAAAATGCCTTTTATATTCGGAATCTACATTAAATTTCCTACGAAATGGACGTATGACATAGTAAGAATTGATTTACATAAAGCAGAGAACCATTAATTTTTGATATCCCAGAAAAGGGTACGATTTAAATTTTTGCTTACTGTATACGTCTAATTTTTCTCCGGAATTAAAGACCACGAACAATAATACCAATATACTCTCGCAAGATGCTTATGCTGCACCTGTATTAATTTCTTGTTCGCTTAGGACTAGTTAAGTTAGGAACAGGATCCAGCTCAATTTTTTTTAAGACGACGTGATTCGGGCCAGCCGATGCCTTACATTCCATTTTTTGGGTTCAGTATGGGTACACAGACATACAGGGTGGTTTAAATGTCAGGTTACAATGGAAAATTTTTCAATGGGAAAAATTCGCAAATCTCCATTAGTTACCGAAATTTTGCCTTTGAAATTCAATATTTTAAGAATTTTGTCATCAGTGTTTCATAAGTTTTGATAAAAATTAATAAAAATCTCAATCCCAAATCCCAACTAGTGGAAATTTACGAATTTTTCCCATCGAAAAATTTTCCATTGTAACCTGACATTTAAACCACCCTGTACATGTTAAAACCAGTATAATCTCCGCATCTTTACAAGGACGATGCCCAGTATTCAAAATTTTACTTGTCAATTGGGGGCATACATATGATAATCTGCATACCTGCCCTTTTATTGTTGATAATTTCATCCTACAAATTCCTGCAAAGTAGTCATAAATTTTCTGGGAAAAAGTATTTCAAAAAATGGTTGGCTTTACGTCCATCTCATCGACCAAACCTCTCCCGGAAATATGTAAGGGAGGAAACCGTCCCCGAGTATTTATTGGAGAGGGCAAATCACTTTTTGAAGGAGGGCCGCCGTGAGGCATTTCTGGTACGGGACATTGTAACGTTTTTACCGTAAAATTTGCATTATTTTGGTCGAAAGCGTCGAAAACTGGAAATGTTTAATGGAGCTGCCCATTTTTAAGTTTTGGACACTTTACGATTTTTTCCATATGTCGGTTGGTGGTCAAAAGGGGGAAAACTTACGATAATTTTTGACCGTGTCTCGTCACGGATGGTTTCAGCGAAGGGAAACAGTCTGCATATATGTATATGATAACTCGGTTATCATATACACATTTCAGGAGAACGGTCTGACCGGGGAGCGTCTCGCCTTTAAAAATTTTGACAATGAGACGCTACGAGTCGCGAGTTGTTTCTACAAGCGTGGCCTTCGCAAGGGAGCAGTGGCGGCGGAAGCAGGGGGACAGGGGGACATTGTCCCCCCAGAAATTTAGCAAAATCGTATCTTGCCCATGTTAATAAGCCCCTCCTATTCCTATCCTACAATGCTAATGTCCCCACATGTCCCCCCAACTTCCGCCGCCACTGCAAGGGAGACATCGTCGTTTACATACATGACGTCTCACCAGCTCCCCTAAATCGTCATGGTGATGGTGATTATTTTTAAATAGATACATATTTAATTAATTAAGTATAATTTTAATCGAATTAAATTTTTAAAGGGGTCTGGCGTGCAAATGGGGTCGTTCGTTCGCTCTATGTCGGAAAGTATATAGGTGGCGGCTATTTAAATACATATATTGTGAATTTTAGTGGCACAAATAATTAATTTTGCACTGCTGAATAGAAACCATCCTGGAAAAAATTAAGGAGTCGAACTCTCACTGGATTTTCTGTGACGCCGAAAATGCCCACAAGTGTCAAAGTATTGCCGACAAGGTGGGATGGACAGTGGAAATTGTGGTGTGTGGCGAGGGGGCGGATGGATTTATGTCCATAAATGTACTCTCAGTTCTGTTTTAAGGTTCCCATGGATGACGCTTTGGCGCATAATCTCACTCTGCCCCTATCCAATGTCTTCAAATGCAATTTCTAAAATCGAATCAACTCCATGAGTTTTGAGATAAATTCAACTTTTGATAGCTTAATTTAAAGCTGATTTTTGGCACTACTAACAAGTCGATTTGAAAAAAATTCAAAAATTCATTTTCGAGGAAATTTATTGTGAAAAATTGGCAAACTAAATAATCTTTTAATTTTTTTCAAATCGACTTGTTTGTAGTGCCAAAAATTAGCTTTAAATTAAGCTATCAAAAGTTGAATTTATCTCAAAACTCATGGAGTTGATTGGATTTTAGAAATTGCATTTGAAGACATTGGATAGGGGCAGAGTCAGATTACGCGCCAAAGCGTCATCCATGGGAACCTTAAGCTAATCCTAAATCCCGTCCCGAGTACGTAAGGTAGCCTCGATAAAGAGCAAAGGTTACGCTGGATTTGTACAGTTTACCTAACATACAATTGCGAGAATAAGGGTAGCCATAGATATGTACTTCCCTGAAAATCGGCCAAATTCTTGATGCAAACAGTATGTACTGGAAATTATTGCTTAATCCATCCTTTCACTATCCAAGTAAATGTCTAATAAATACATATGCATTAATGTGGACTACTGGTTTTATGTAATTTTTATAATTCACGGAAATAGACTTTGCATTTCTTAACACGAGTTGTATATTTATCTAGTTCTACGAATGTAAGCATATGTTAAATTATACAAGGTAAATTGATCATTACGGAAATATTTTTAGTGACAGTTTCAATCAACTAGTTATGTTTGATTTAAATATTTATATGTAAATATACATACACATAATAATGTAATAATGTATTTGTACAAAATTAAATAACAATAAAGAATTTGATTATTTTCAATTCATAAAAAATAGTTGAGCACCTATGTAATTATGGGCATACGTAGTTAATTACATATTTAACTAACAATGCGATGGTGTGAAGTGTAACGCTCCGATTTGGTTGAAATTTCGAAATTATGTGGTCCATGTCAATGCAACCAACGTTTCTTGAGCCAGTTTGTGCGATGGTGCGAATTAGTCGAAATATTTGAGGTCAAAGTTGGAAAATGGAAGCTTTTTAGCACAGGAAGAGAATGGAAGTCCTCCGGCTGGTAAAAATCGCCCATTTTTCAACTTTGACCTCAAAAATTTTGCCAAATTCTGACCATCGACATAATTCTGACATAATTCCAAAATTTCAACCAATTTGGAGGGTTACACTTCACACCATCGCATTGTAAGACTAATCAAAAAAATTAACAATTTCGGACATATTTAGATAGAAAGCATGGCCTTAACAATTTTTATCGTTAGATGTTTAAATTTTCGATAAGTAATCTTGCCTAGCGCCTTTTGCCCTTATCATGGTTGCAGTCTTAACGTAACTCAGATTTCATCATAGCGACGTTTCAATAAGAAGGAGGTTTATATGGAAAGTCCAAGTTTGCTTCTTCCCTCCACTCAGTATCATGTCTAAAGCACAGCGTATAAAACAAGGTTTGATTTGATCCCAACCGGCGAATAATTGGAAACAAGGAGAAATCTCTAAAATAAAATAAATGATACACTCATGATTTACCAACTCGCATAAATATATTTTTCTATATTGTTTTAACGCACTCTAAAATGCTTATTTTCGAGACGACTCCAAGTTTCTTAAATTTGATATATTTTCCCGGCTTTATGGATTTGTCGAGTTGCTCCCTTTTTCCACTGTCGAGTTCAGGAAGTTGTAAAAGGGAAAACAAATGATCCGAGTCGGAAATTAATACGCCAGTTTGGCGGAATTTGGGCCACATTTGGCTCGATATTGGGTACATTATGGCATTTAGATCGATCGATGGTTTACACTTTTTAGTCTGGATACTGATTGTTTTTTCATTACTCAGGTGGAACGGGGTGCATTTAGACAGCAGGAAATTAAGGCCACCTAAGACAAAAATTAAATTGAAGTTTAATTAAAATTTAAGCTTAATTAAAGATCAGTATAATCAAGAAACAAAAAAAATATCATAAAAACTTGCATTCTGGCGACGTTGCTTTGATGTAACTTCCCCTGAATGGGTTTGGGGCCGATACTAAGGCGCTTATCGTGTCGTGCGATACTCCAAAATTATTTTCTCTCTTGAGAGGAACCCTATAGAAATCTGTACACATCAGAATCGGCATGGGAAATCCAGGCATTTCTATTTCTTGCCTGAGAATAAATAAACCAACCACAAATTGTACACCATTTCATTTCTTAAATTATAAATGGATGCTATAAAAATGCATTCGTGTCCGAATTTGCTCACCACGGGGGATACAACTGGAGTACAGCGCCTAACTTTATCTCGTACAAATACAACGGTCGAAACATAACGCAACGATCTATATCACGTTCCACGAGGCGACAGATTGTCCAAACTAGTTTGTCCCGAGTTCCACAAACGTGCCTAATGATAAGTGTGACAGCTTGAGATTCGTCGTACTCGTAAGTGTGGTCATAAATATATTGTGGGAATCTTCGGACCGAGTTTTCGTACGGGGTGAGAAGTGCTTTCATTTCTTCGACCAAAGAGTACCTACAAAAATTAAAATATATTTATAAATACAAATAATTATTATCTCTTTGGAATTTATAATCATACTTTTTTTTCGTCGTCCCGTCAATGTCAGTATTTTGGTTTGTATCGGAATTACATAACGGGTTCGTGGGGGGGGAGTCGTATTCCTCAATTTCAAACTCCTCATCATCTGAGGGCTCTTTTCTAGGGGGTGTTTTTGGGGTTGGTGGTTTTGAGAGGGTTTTTTTGCGTGGTGGTTTTAAGAGTGGTGGTTTTGAGAGTGGTGTTTTTGAAGGTGGTGTTTTTGAAGTAGATGCTGTCTTACCAAAGATGGCAAAATCTTTTTGTTTTCCTTGAAAAAATTTTTCCCATGCCTGCAAGAATTAAATAATAGGTACAAAATAAATTAGAATTAAATATTTAAAACGTTGCTGAAAGTAAAACCTTGTTCTCCGAAGATCTTCTCTTTTGAGGTCTGACCCCTGTTTCGGCCTCGGTCAGGGACGAGTCGGAGGTACCAGGGATGGCACTTTCCAGCGATGACCGCTTCATTTTCAATTTTGCACGGGGTAGCTTCGTATTTCGATACGTTTCTTATTGCATGGCAATCTATTATAATTAAAAGTTTATTTCGGACAAAATATTTTTTATGTATGTATGGACAAGATAATAATTCTTAAAGTCAGGATATTAGTTCGTTCGATACTACTTACCATGCTCCAGTGAAATAATTGATGACTAACTATTTGAAATTCAGAATTTCAACTTGAAATACAGATGAAAATATCTGCACTCGGTCGGACGAGGGAAAACTGTGAACTGTATGTTCAATCAGCTGCTGGTCAAATGTGCCGGGCACTTGTCTCATCAGGGCAACACGGCACAGCTTGTAAAGCACCCGACGCATTTATGAAAAACAACTCGTTGCACACTTTTCGAGTTGTCGAACACGAGATCAGAGCTGGGATAATCCTGATTAAGGATTATGGATTATTAATCCATAATCCCTAATCCGGCAATAAGAGATTTTTGTAATCCCTTTAATAGTAATTTAATATTCACTTTAATAGTGTTCCACGTTCTATACATCTGCAACTTTTCACCTATCTCACACTACTACTTACCACTCCCACAATCTTGATTTCAACTCCAGACAGATTTATGGCTTCCATGATGTGATATTATTTACATATTGCTTGAAAAATGGTGTTACGCTAGGAAATTTACTCGCAACATTGCTATTTAGAATCCGTCGACTGATGTGCCAAATACTTATTCATCCATTCGTTGTGGTTGAAAGGTTAAAATTGTCACATTATTATATGTATAGGGCGTAACTAAACTCAATTATAACTCTTTTTACTGCATCAATCACTTAAGCAATGAGTTCCGGTGAAAGTGATGTAGGCGAAAAATCAATTGTGTAACATGAGTAATTGCGTTAGACTTGGACTTCAACTTTTGCCCATAAATTGTTCAGAAACATCATTCCCTCGTGTTCTAATCAGCTTCTCGTGAACGCATACATACAAAAAATATCGTAATTTTAAATACAAGTTTAAGACAGATTGTTAAGCGTGGGAGTTCTAAAAAAAATTACATTGCGTGATGTTCGATTTGTAAATAATTGGTTGGTTCAAAGTGAATGAAAAAAAACTGGAAAAATAAGCCTGAAGGAACATATGTACCTAAATATGCAGCTCGTCGTGAAAACCCCCAATGTTGTCAGTATCTTACGTACAGACGGTACGAGAAAATATTTTGCGTACATATATAGTTTAACCTGGATGTCGTATGCAGACACAAATATCTACATATTTATATGTACATATTTATGTACCTCAACTTGTGCTTACATAAATATTTGTTATAAAAAATTTTGCGGAATGTGAAGTAAAATTAATTTCGCTAGTGGAAATCAAACCAAATCATGCTAAACCCAGATTATTCAGGGTAGTACCCATGCCTTGCGGAAAACCAAGCGTTCTTGCGAACATGCGGTGCCCTTAACTTGTCGAATTTTCCACAACTGTGCCAATATCGCACTATTTGTAAATGCCATTTATATGTATGTATAAAGGGCTTTCAAATATAGGCATAAATTTTCTTTCAAACGAACGTGGTCGAAAAATACTCTGGGTTGAACATGGTTTCCGACCCCATTGTTGGAAAATTTGTTTTATATTTGTTGTTTATCGTGTGAGTAATTTTGACGCAAAAGTTTATACTGCAATGTGCAGATATTTATCTATTTTTCTAGATCTTAAATAGATGTAGAAATTTTTTCGTCGAATTTTGTACTCAATTTTGTCCTTTAATCAATTTGAAGTACATAAAGAGTGTATGATAAGCCTATGGTTTTGCAATATTGCATTATAGTGCATTAGGTAAAAGTGTCCTGCATTGCCCAATTAAACCGGATATTCATACGGAGAAATGTAATTATGCATTAGTTGCAACTAAATAGGTTCTATTTCTCGACATTTGTTAAATATGTATGTATGTATGTACTATGTACTATGCACACTTTTTAATAATTCATGGCTCGTTAAATCCACCTTTACCATCAGAGTTTTTCTCATTTTCAATCTTCACGATGTCATCAAACTTTATCTCTTGCACACATTTCTTTCCTCCATCAATTGGTGTCTTCTCCTTCACGAGCTTGCAAATGGGAAGAGCCCACCCACACTTGATGGACCTCACCAATCGCCACGAGTTTGTGGTCACGTCGCAAAACATTTTTGCCCGTGGAGATAAATATTAATTCACAGACTTAATTGTTATTAATTCCTCAAAGTTTAATGTTATTCATCCATCCAATTAATTAGTAAATTATGCAAAATTGAATGAAATCGATAAAATTTTGGTCATCCATCCGCCTTACAATCAATGCACCATTCTGGTACAAGGACGACGTCGTCCTTGTATCGAGATGGCGTACGCCATCTCGATACAAATTGCCAGAATGACAAGGACCGCGATTGCTTTGACCAAGAAGAGGCCAACCTTGCCTAAAAATTACGAAAAACTCGTAAGTTTTAGTACAAGTTTGGATTAAAATGTAAACCCGGATTAATGGTACATATATTTTTAGGGATTAATAACCCCTAATCAATTTTGCTCAGGTTGATGTTTGTGGAAGTAGGCATATGTAGGAATTATTTAGCCGCACATTATCCAAATGGTCATGCTTATCTGCGGTTTCAATAACCTTCAATTGAAACGTAATTAAATCGATTCTAAGGACAAAGGAGCTTTAAGTATGGTACAATAACTTCCGCAACCCATATTCATTCATCAGTTCGATACAAATTAGAGTTTAAACAAAAAACATATGTACTTCTGCACATGGGTTTTAATCAGTTTATGGATTTGTAAATATGTTAAAATTATTTATATTTTTATGCGCATTTGAAATTAATTACGCATAAATAGTTTAAAACTATTCGAATTATTCAAAACGCAAACAGACTGGACAATTTCACATCTGGATATTCCATCACTACTTTAAATACCTACACCTACGCCCATCAGGATTTTCAGCTTCGACAAGGTGGAAGACCTCCAGTGACAAGTCTCGAACTGCTCCATAAAATGTGTCACCGTTTGCAATGGCAAATCATACTGGTTGAAACGATATGCATCGAACATCCCGGCATGGCTGTGCACGTATCTTCGAACGTGTAGGATATCGGAGATTCGCAAGTTGCCATGGATACTGGCGATGTCACGCATGAAATCAGATCACCGTCGTCATATTCACACGCATCCTTTAGTCGTTGGCAGAAAACTGGAGATTCCACAAGCCATATATTTTTTTTAAACATGTCCATCTGGATTTACATAGTTTCTCACCTTGCGCGGCACGTGCTTGCCAGACTGAATATCTGCCTTGTGTATGTGACCCTGGGAATGTCGGCCATTCGGAGCATGGAGATCTGAAATTAATAGGAAAATTTTATGTCGGTGTAAGCAATTTGCAATCAAGTATTAGGTTAAACTGTTTTTTAAAATAATGACAGGCTAAATTCTTTATCGGACTTCTGATTAAGAGATTAACTCACCCGCCAAAAATTGGGACGGGTATGGGCCACAGACGCTGGCGAGGTGCTCTATTCGCTCCGTTGTGCATTATTTTACCTGTTGCCACAAGGTTAGATGCTGGCTAAAAGTTTCAAAGTCCAAGATTTTAAGAATGTAGCAGTTGAATTTTCGTAAGTTTTTCTAAACTTGCCATTTTTTGAAGGACGGTGTTTCCTATGGATTCGTAGTTTTGTCCCTCCGCAGCACAAAACCTGCCCAAAAATCCGATCACCAAAAGTAGCTACACGTGTAAAAATCAGGAAAAAATAAAATTTTAACGAGTTACCACCAATGCTTTAAGATCAGAAATTAAAACCTTGAGAAATTTATCTGTCCCTCATTCAAATATAAACAAAATTTTCATTCGATTTCAAGAAAATATTAATGTAATAAATATATCTTTCTTAAACGTGAAGGTGTATGTAAATACCCAATTTTTTTGTGCTTCATTTAGAAAATTATTGTTATTACATATTTATTATGAAAAAGTTATAAATTGCGGAAATAGGCTTCCTTCCTTCCGAGTAAATATGTAACTTACAAGACCCAGCCTTACTTTCTTGATTAACATGATGGTGACCACTCGTTAAACTGGTGCACAATTAAAGGATAATTTACCCCTGGCAAAAATACATATTGTCATCCGCTTTTATACTTGCCGAGAACTTGACACGTTTTGCAAATAAAAAGATTTTCGTTTTTTTAAATATATGTATGTACTTGAAAGAGTTGAATGGTTGATTCACTTTGATAAGATTGTCAACTCTTAAAAATGATTCATCGTCACGTTTAACAAGACAGACTCGACTTCCATTTTTTGATATGATCGGGGTCATCCGATTTTTTGGCACCCTTTAAATTCTCGTCAGTGCACTGACACACTGAAGTGTGACAAATATTTGTAACTGCATCTAAATTTCCGTACTGTTTAATCCCAATGTACATATGTATGTAGGTATTTATCTGTGTGTATTAAGGTACACAGGTGTGTATGTACATGGTTAATTTATGGGAGAAATTAGTAGAATGGAAATTTTTTTGTACTTCATGGGACCAATTTTAGTTGCTTTATACCATCGTAAAATTCTGTATTTCACAAAATAAATAGGGGAAATGATGGCATAGTTAAAAGTTTGTGACCTTATTGTTCATGCATAAAATAAGTAATTCATGAAAGTTGTATATCTCCGTCGCTTTCTCTAACGGAGGACACATTACGGTTTTTGTGCAAAATTATTTGGCACTTTTTTTGCATTATCTTTTGAGTATGATTATATATGTATGTCAAATACATACATATGTACAGATGTATGTAGTTGACATACATGTGTAGTTCATGTGAAGAATCCCCGCAATTCCCTGTAAAACTCTACCCGGTGTCGACCTCCGATAAATAAATACATATTAAATTACCTTTCATGTGCGGTTGAGTTTCAATAAAAACAAACCTGTTTTTATTTGCATTAATACTTTACACATTCTATTTAATATTCAAAGACTAAAATCATGCATACATAAATCCGAGAAATAAAAAAAAACCAGTCCAAAACTGGATTCATACCATACATTTCGGGCCTAAATCACACACATGTGTGTGCAAATCTTGCGCAAAATATATGTACAGATAAAAAACTTACACATATGTACGCCGTTCCAATGTATTTACTCGCACACCGCCAACAGGTTGAAAAATTCTTGAATAAGGGAACAACCATATATTACGTCATTAAAAATGTGAATGGGTGGTTTTTAGTGGTCCATCTTAACGTTTAGCTTAATATGAAGATTAAAGAAATGGTGGTTGGGTAGTCTAAATCATTGTAAGAATCAGTGTTTTTTGATGACGTACTAAATATATGGACGTTCCCTAAGTCCATGTCGAGAAGGGAGATCAGGTTTTGTGAGGCAAAAATTGGGTTAATTTTGTAAAAACAAGACCCATTTTCACATCTGAATTGACCTCTGTTGTGGACGTAGCTCCTTATTTTTCATCTTATAAAAAATTATACGCGTGCGTTAAAATTGAATTTATTTACTTCTATGTAAATAGAACTACAAGTATTTTTTTACATATTTAGATTCTGTAGAGCTTTAAACGGTTGAAACAACCAGGTCACATCACAATAATGGTAATTATTTTAGTAAAAAAAATATCAGTTCAAAATTTTTCCTATCTTGCTGCCAAAATTTCCAATCAAATTCCAAAAGAAATTTTACACAAAGCTGAACGGAAGTTGTGGAGTTTTTTAATTTTCTCGATTAATATTAACATTAATATTAACAAATTTTGTAAATCTTTATCCCATTTTGGACAAAATTATGACTTTCATATTTATTTTCGATAGTAACTTTAAAAATCTTATACAATCTGGTGTCGTATTTTAATTTTGCACAATTTTTTTCCAGATTTTACAACTTATCACAACCCTCTGCATACTCCAGCTCAGCTTACCGACGTATTCTTTAGATCCCGTTTTTCCACGTGATGTCCCACTAACGGAACAAAATAAAAGAGTGGATCCGATTCCAATGGTAGGTAAGCACTCTTAAAAATGATGCTACCCATTTGAAAATTAAATGTGTTTTCTTTGAATCCTGTATTAAGAGTGAACTGTACAAAATCTAGAGTAAACTTTACCCGTTAACGTTGCCCTTGATTTAGTATATTTTAATTTGAACATAAAATTCAGAGTGTATTTAATTTTCAGAAGGGTAACATCATTTTGAAGAATGTTAAGAAATATTAGAAAATTTACCCTGCAGTCTATAAATTGTCGCGTTTCAGACATTACGACAAACGACGCGTCGCGCCAGGCAAATTAATTATTGTGTAAACCTGCTCAACAATAATGGCATGTATTACCCCCAATCTCAAGTATTTCCGGGCGCCCCGGAAAAACAATACCCGCCATTTGCAAGCAATCAGTACCCAGTAAATTCAGCGTACCCGGCCAATTACCAATATCCAGGATACCCGTATCCATCACCAAGTGTAAGTTTAAAAGAGCTTAATACATTAAACCATTAGTTACATACATTCATAGATAATTACATAGGGAGGTTTGGTCGATTTTTAATGCCGCCAATAAAAATCTGGGAAATTAGGTTCATACAACCAGGGATAAATTTCCTTAAATTCCACGCAAACGGAACATGTTTAATGTTTAAATATTAGATTCTCACCTATTTATTACTCTTTTTTTTCACTACGAAAATCCTCGAATAACAGGATGCTGCAAAAAGATGAGGCCCATCTTACCCTTTGAGCTCGAACAAATTTTAGAAAGTTAATTACGGTTTTCCCGAATTTTGTTTTTGCCCGGCGGCAAATTATGCCTGATTAAAAAAACTAGTCCAGTAACTGCATGCAATTTTTTTCTTTGAACGGAACATTAGGCAAGGCTAGAAATGCAAATATTTTTTGCTTTTCCAAATCGCAAGTTTAACACGTTGGACTAATTTATTTCAAATTTAGCTTACAGAAGTTTTAAATTTTATTTATGTGCTTTTTAGCAACTCGGTCCGGCTTATGCCCCACCCTCCGTGAAGCAATGTTCCCAACGGGCGTCCACCCCGGATGCCACGTTCAGCCGGAGTTGTTACGACCCGAAGGAACAATCGGGCCATGACGTCTGCAAGTTTTACATTGAGGGTGCCATCTACACGGGGAAGGATCCTTATCAAGCGGGCTGTCCCGCCGGAACGGTCGGGTATTGCTGCTGCGATCCGAAAATCGGGACTTGTGACAATATTGTTTGACAAGTTTTACGTAAATTAGAAGGTTTGATCTACAAATGCATGTCAAATAATCTCAACTAGAGGTTTACATCCTTAAACAGCAATAACTTCCTCCGAGGGAGAGTAGAATACAATTGTTGTCATCATATCAAATTATTCGTGGGCTGTTATATATAAATTTTGCGTATAACTTTACTCATTGAAAACTCTTAATTTACATATTCAATTAAATTATTACATGTTCAATTAAATTCGTAATCGTTCATATTTGTTGAACTCCTTTCCCTTTTTTTAAGACGTATAGATATTTCATAGTTTTATAACTATGCCCATCATAGAAAACTTCGCGTAAAAAATAAAAAAATTAAGATGAACAGTTCATAAAGGTAACGTTTTAAGTATAATTCTAAAACACGAGAAATGGTGAAAATAGGGTTCGAATTTGCAATACTTTTTAAACCATTAAATCACAAAGGATCAGATCTGATTGTGACAAAAATTGCACGAGTAATAAGTTGGCGTTTGACAATTACAAACATTTATTTACATACATATTTACAAGCTGAACATGTACATGAAAGATTAGATTTATGTACATACAGACATAGTTGGTCAAATTTTTAAGTCTTTCAAATTCCGAAAATTTTTGAAGAACTACGTAAAAAATCGATGCTGGATGCTCTTGCAAATATGTATGTATGTGTGCTGTTATTCCATTAAGGTTTCCTTGCATGAATACAGTTTTATTTAACAATTCTACATACATAATCCAACAAATTATGATTTAAGTTGAACAAATTTTTGAAAACTAACAATGAGAAGGTGTGAGGTGGTTATCGCCGATATCCACCGGGCTAATTTTAAATTGTTCACGCTCAAAAATAAGTGGACCCGTATTTTTTCGTTTTCCTGAATGGGCATGTTTACGCCCTTGGCAGAATTTTGAAAACAAAATTTTCAGCCAAAATTCAGATTTTTAAAAACGCTATAACTTTTCGAATTTTCACCCGATTTAAAAAAATAAACCCAATTTATTTGTGTTCAGAATTACATCCCTGAAAATATAAAAATTCATTTTTAAAAATTTCAAACATTTGAAATTTGCATGCTATTTCTGAATTTTTATAAACGCAAAAAACGATAATTTTTTGAAATTTAAAAGCATTTTAAAAATTAATTTTCATATTTTCAGGGATGTAATTCTGAACACAGATTGGATTTATTTTTTGAAATCGGGTTTAAATTCGAAAAATTACAGCGTTTTCAACGGCGTACAGAAGTAACGAATTTTCCCCAATGAATCCATTTTATATTTATGTACTAACTTATGGATTAACCCAAATTGCATACTAAAATTTCATAATTTGATTGTGAAAAATCTTGTGAAAAAGCAAAATTGCAATTATTTTGCAATATTCAACCAATTGGAAAACTGAGGTCAGAAATCAAGGTAGCGGCCGAATTCTAGTCTAAAATAATCTTTACAATTTTTTCCAGTCATAATAAAACCAAATTTGGACGATTTTGAGACGAAAGTCAAAATTCGCAACAAAAATTCGCACATTTTGGCATTTATCTCGTATCTCAAAAACTTGCTAAGCTCGCCCCCAGCTTTATGACGGATTATTGGTTATTAACCAAATCTAATCAATATTACGCAAATTTTAAACCATCAAACTCGAAAATCATTGGAAGCCGGAAAAACACGATCTCATTGTATATTTCTATTTTAAAAAGAGTGAAAGTTATTGGGAATTGTTTGTGTTATTGGACGGTTACTTCTATAACTGCACTATGATGTGTTTTTTTGTATGTTTTAATATAGTTAGTTACATATTGTTTATTTCTTGCGTGTCACTTGTGGAAGAGCATGGTTTGTTACTG